CGTCGTCGTCGTGACCAGCATCTTCTTCTTCTCTCTCTCTCTCTTTCTTCCCGAAGCGAAGAAGCTCCAAGTTCTTATCAACCCCAGCCCCAGCTTATCAGCACCTCCTCCACCAGCAAATGGCCATCATGTTCAGGCTGCTGGTCNGTGTTCTACTTTGATGTTCTACTTTGATGTTCTATTTTGCTGTTGTTCTATTTACATCTTCTTTGACCTTCTTCTTTGACCTTTTCCTTTGACCTTTTCTTTCTTCCATAGCCTCAATGAAGCCCATGGGCGTGCCGATGAAGATGATCAACGCCCGGCAGACCTCGGAGGGCAAGACGCAGGCGGCGCCGAAGCCGAAGAACGGCACCGTCGATGACACCAAGCTCCGCATGTACGGCGGCGGCGGCTATGGCGGTAAGTGACTTTTTTAGAATCCTTCTTCATTCTAAAACTAAGCCATTTGTTCCCTTTCTTCCTTCCTTCTTCTCTAGGCGGCGGCTACGCGGCCCCAGCTCCTTCCTACGGTAAGTATCGATTAGAATCAAAACAGAGCATTCTTGTTGTTTACTAATCTCTTACCTTTATCTTCATTTCAGGCGGCGGCTACTCTGCTCCGGCTCCCTCATACGGCGGCGGCGGCTACGGTAAGCGATCATCACAGCGATTACCTAAAACCTCGAGCTCATCTTCTAATCCAAAATCTTTCCTTTCTTCTTTCAGGCGGCGGCGGCTACGCTGCACCAGCTCCCTCTTACGGCGCCTCCAGCTACGGCGGTGGCTCCTCCTACGGCAGTAAGTACCTCCTCCTTCTCTCAAGAATATTCTATAGAATCCTAAATCCAAAACCTTCTTCACCATAGGCTCCTACGCGGCCCCAGCTCCCTCATACGGCGGTGGCTCCAGTTACGGCGGCGGCGGCTATGGTAAGAGATCACATCACCTGAAAAAACATTGAGCTCAAATTCTAATCATCATCATCGTCATTTCTATTTCTATTTCCACCTAGGCGGCGGCGGCTACAGCGCCCCGGCTCCCTCCTACTCGGCCGGCTCTGGCTACGGTGGTAAGTAGAACTCTCACACCATTACCATCTCCTTCAGTACTTCGACGGCAGCCTAACTAACGACCAGAACCACCCTACGACCTTCCAGATTCCGGGTACTGCGTCTGCACCTCCGGCGGCTACGGCAAGGGCGACTCATACGGCAGTAAGTAGTCCTCCT